ACTGCACCACAGCACCCCTTATTGGCTGATATTTTTGTTAAGGCTATTTGTGTGTCTGTGTAGAGGCAACACTGGTCTGTTGTTTCTTGCCGCCTTTCTATCGGGGGAAACCCAGCCCCACGGAGTATTTGAAAAGATGGTCTATTTCTGGTTTCTGCAAGAGTTCTATATATTTGGTATTTCTTAAATGTTTTAGGGGGAGACCGGCGCTGCGGCTCACTAGGCTAATCCTCCGCCTTGCGGCGCCAGCACACCGGGTTCTAGTCCTGGTCAGGGCGCCGGATTCTGTCCCGGTTGCTCCTCTTCCAGGCCAGCTCTCTGCTGTGGCCCGGGAGTGCAGTGGAGGATGGCCCAGGTGCTTGGGCCCTGCACCCCATGGGAGACCGGGAGAAGCACCTGGCTCCTGGCTTCGGATCAGCGCAGCGCCAGCCGTGGTGGCCATTTGAGGGGTGAACCAACGGAAGGAAGACCTTTCTCTCTCTCTCTCTCTAACTCTGCCTGTCAAGTAAATGTTTTAGGGGGAGTCATGGGGTCAGCACTGGCCTGGTTAAGTGTCTGTCACACACGGGAGACTGCTCCCGCCCTTGGGAGAGCTTCTCTCGTGTGGATCAGTGATGTCCGGTCGCTCTGCCTTGTGAGATGCGTTAGCAGGGAGCTGCTGGTGACATTCCCCATTCCCTGTCTGCTGCCGGCAGCGAGGCCTGCTCTGTGGGCACCACAGGGCAGCGTGGAGCTTCTCTCTTTCACAGCGTGTCCAGTTTGCCTACAGATGGAACAGTTCTGTCACCCTTGTTCAAGAGCCACCTTTTGGTCTCGTCCGTTTTTCTCTCGTTCATCTACTTTTGCTTTTTATTTAGGCTGTTCTTTATGGCCTTTAATTTCGTCTTTTAAATTTTTATTTCCTTTTTTCTTTTCTTTTCTTTTTTTTTTTTTTTTTGGAAAGCTAGAGACGCAGAGAGCAAAATCAGTCTTCCATCTGCTGTTTGTCCCCCAGATGTCTGCAGCAGTCAGAGCTGGCCAGGTCGAAGCCAGGAGCCAGGATTCATCCGGGTCTCCCACGTGAGCAGCAGGGACCAAGTACGTGGGCCACCAGCTGCTGCCTTCCAGCTGTGCATGCACTGCAGGCCGGGATCTGCCGTGGATCCAGGTCTTACCCGCAGGCACTGATACAGGATACAGGTGCCCCAAGCACAGCCTTGACTCCTGAGCAGAAAGCCTACTTCCTGTTTGGGTTTTAACTTTCTCTTTAGCTAGTTCCTTAAGGCAGAAGTTTATATTATTGACAATTTTTTAAGATCTTTCCTCTTTTTTCTAGTGTATTTTTTAAAAGATTTATTTATTTATTTGATAGAGTTACAGAGAGAGAGAAGGAGAGACAGAGGGGGAGAGAGAGAGGTCTTCCATCTACTGGTTCACTCGCCAGATGGCTGCAATGGCCAGAGCTGTGCCCATCCGAAGCCAGGAGCCAGGTGCTTCTTCCAGGTCTCCCACATGGGTGCAGGGGCCCAAGCACTTGGGCCATCTTCTGCTGCTTTCCTAGGCCACAGCAGAGAGCTGGTCAGAAGTGGAGCATCCAGGACTTGAACCGGCACCCATATGGGATGCCAGCACTGCAGGCGGCGGCTTTACCCACTATGCCACAGTGCCGGCTCCCTCTCCTCCCTCCCCCTCCCTCTCTCCCCCTCCTTCCTCTCCCCCCTCTCCCTCTGCCTCTCCTTCTCTCTGTGTATAACTCTTTCAAATAAATCTTAATAATCTGAGGGGCTGGCAGTGTGGTTGCAGTGGGCTGGGCCACTGCCACTCCATGTTGGAGCACTGGTCTGGTTCCCAGCTGCTCTGCTTCCAATCCAGCTCCCTGCTGATGGGAAAGCAGCAGAGGACGGCCCAGGTGCTGGGGCCTGCCACCCAGGTAGGACCTCTGTCTCTGTCTCTCCCTGCATAACTGCTTGCCAAATAGATGGATAAATCTTTAAAAAGAAATCGTACAGCGAGACCCTGTATTTTTGGCCCAGTTGTCCTTCAGTGTCCACCATGGCTGTGTGTTGAATAATGGAAATCAGAGCTGGTCCCAAGGCTACTGCCGATGATATTCCATCTGAGCTGGGCATAGCCATGAAGCTCTGTCGCTCCCCCTCTTCGTGGAGGAACGACACTGAACCCTGCGCTGTTCTTTTTGTCTGCTCGGCCCTCCCCGGGTTTGCTGCTGGTTCTTCCCGGGTTGGCTACTATCCCTTCCACCTCCGTGGAAGGGCAGTTCCCCCTGGCCGCATTCCCCACTTCCGCAGGGGAGCGGCACACCGCCGGCCGGCTTTCTCTGGGGCTGCACGGGTGTTCCTTCAGCTAGATGTTCCCCTTAGATGTTCCTGGTGCATGCCGTCTCTCTCCTCCTTTATAGTCCTCCTCTGCCAATCCCAACTCGGCTGCCCACACGCCGAGTACGCTGCTCTCCTCCAATCAGGAGCAAGTCCTACAATTCATTAGTTGAACTGGAGGCAGCTGTGCGGAAGCTGTTTACTTCTCTCCCAGCGCCATATTGTGGGAGAGCAGATGCATAGAATAAGTCTTAATTCCAGTAACTCAGTCCAGTCCGGGCTGCTCCCCACAAAGCTCTAGCCAATGGAATGGAAGCAGAAGGGCTTTTCTTTTTTTTAACAATTTATTTTATTTATTTGAAAGAGTTACAAAGGGAGGTAGAGACAGAGAGGTCTTCCATCTGCTGGTTCACTCCCCAGATGGCCACAATAGCTGGAGCTGTGCTGATCCGAAACCAGGAGCCAGGAGCTTCTTCCGAGTCTCCCACGTGGGTGCAGGGCCCCAAGGACTTGGGTCATCTTCCACTGCTTTCCCAGGCCATAGCAGAGAGCTGGATCGGAAGAGGAGCAGCCGGATCTCAAACCAGATGCCAGAGCTTCAGGCCAGGGCGTTAACCCACCGCGCCAAAGCTGCCGGTCCCAGAAGCCCAGAAGGACTTTTTTTTAACATCTGCAAAGCATCCTTACAGAGAGATCAAGGGACCTTTTTAGTGCCCTCTTTCCTGCTGTGGATGTGATGGCTGGAACCTGAGCAGCCATCCTGGGCCATAAGCTGGAAGCCATGTATAGACAGTGGAGCAATAGTCTACAGAGAGCCTGGGTTTCTGGTGATGAAGAAGCAACGTATGGGTGGATACAGTGGCACAGAGAGTTAAGCCACTGCTTGGAATGCTCACAGCCCAAATTGGAGTGCCAGCTTGTGTCCTGGCTACTCGACTTCCAATCCAGCTTTCCTCTAACGCATCCTGATGGGCAGAGGAGGATGACCCAAGTGCTTGGGCCCCCGCCACCCATATGGGAGAACCAAACGGAGCTCTTGGCTCCTAGTTTTGGCCTGGCCCAGCCCCTGCTGTTCTGGGCCATTTGTGGAGTGAACCAGAGGCCCACAACAGCCAGGATTAGGCCAGGCTGAAGCCAAGAGCCCAGAACTCCATCTGGGTCTCCACGTAGGTGCCAGGGACATTTGATCTGCCACCTGCCGCCCAGGGCGTGCACTAGCAGGACGCTGGAACTGGAGTTGGAGCCGAGCCTCAAGCCCAGGGACTGGCACTGGAACGCAGCCATCCTATGTAGCAGCCTAACTGCGTTGCAGAACCCCGGCCCCTGCACTTGATTTTAATCTACCCGGCCGGGTGCTGTTTCTGTCTCCACCATCGTAGACACATGGTTGATGCACTGTGGCGTGTACCCTGCATTTCCACGTTCCTTGCCTTTCTTTTTCCTCTCCTTTTCCTCCATTTTATTAGACTGATTAAAGTCCCCCCCCCCTTTTTTCTTCTACTTGTTTGGAAGCTGTGGGGTGAGGGCTTGGCCACAGGCCAGCCCTGGCAGGGAGCCCCTCCCCCCAGCTCACGGCTGCCCCCACCCCCCGGCTCAGAAGCCCCTCTGTGACCATCCCGGCGACGAGGTGGTCAGGTTCCTGTTCTTGTGCAGAACCCACCTGAGCCAGGAGGGGAGGGGGCTGAGAACACAGTGAGGCCACGTGGACATCTGCGTGTGTGGGGTGTGTAGGAGGGCGTGTGCATGTGCGTGTGTGTGTGCATGTGGGGTGTGCGTGTGCATGTGTGGGAGTGGGGTGAGCCCTGAGCACTCCGTCCCGCCCCCACCCCTGCAGGTCGCCATGGCGGATCTGGAGCTGTCTCCTTCCATCACGTTCCAGCTGCGGGCTGGCTCAGGCCCCGTGTTCATCAGTGGTAAGGAATGTTACGGTGAGTCCCGGCGAGTCCCGGCTGGGCTGGGGGGAGGAGTCTGACAGTGCACACACGGGAGCTGTTTCGGAGCTGTGGGCCAAAATGCCCACAGGCAACCCTGGAGAGGAGGGTCCTGGCCCCAGTTCCCCTTTGCACGGCCTCAGCCCTCAGGTTAATGAGAGTGGGGTGCACTGGCCTTGCTCTCCCAAGAACACTTGGGAGGGGGAAGTGAAATATTCAAGAAGTGCCCTTGGCACCAGGGAGCGCTGGGGCAGGGTCTGTGCCCTGTGGCCTGACGTCCGCTCCGAGGCCCCAGGGCCCTCAGCAGGCCCCGCCCCCACAGGACAAGGTCTGCACCCGCAGGCTGCTATGGCAGGTGCTGTAACAAAATTCCCGAGGCTGGGGACTTTATTTAAAAAAAAAAAAGAGGGTTGCTTAGCTCTGCTCCTGGGGGCTGGGTTGCCCAAGGAGCGTGCTCCAGGCCTGGTAAGGACTCCTGGCCGCATCACACCGTGGCAGAGAAGGGGGCGGAGGAAGGCGCAGGCCGGGGAGACAGCAGAAACCACGCAGGAGGCCAGGAAAGCCACATCGCCGTGGGACACCCTGGTCCCAGGGAGTTGATCCCCAGGAGATCAGGGCCCCCCAACTCAGCGTTCATTCATTCGTGTGGGCGGAGCCGCAGGACCTAGTCCCCTCCCACCCGGCCCCACCACCTCAATGCCTCCAGCACACGGGGAGTGGTCCCACTCAGGCTGCAGGGACAGCCCTGGGTACGGGAGGCCCAGAGCGCCCAGGATGGCGGGTGGGCGTGGCCCTGAGACCCAGACGCCCCTCCCCTTTCCTGTGCCACCCCAGAAACTTTAGACCCAGCCTGGGAAGAGGAAGAAGAGGGAGAGGAGGAGGAGGTGGAGGAGGAGGAAGACGAGGACTATGACGACGAAGAGGAGGAGGCGGACATCTCCCTAGAGGAGAGCCCTGTCAAACCAGCCAAGAGGCAGGCGCCTCTGAAGCAGTCGAGTGTTGCTAAGGTGGGCAAAGGAGCGAGGGGGCTCAGAGAGGTGCTGGGCCTCCCAGGGGCTGTGTGCAGGACAGGCCGAGGCCGCTGCGCCCAGGCCCGGCCAGGGGCCAGGCAGGACCCTCACGGATCAGGGCGCCCCGCTATCCTCATAACGCTTGTTCTTTGTTTCCAGAAGAAAAAGCTGGCGAAAGAGGAGGAGGCAGTGAGGTAAGTCCTTCCGCCTAGCAGGTTAGCCACGATCTGTCAGCACAGGCGGAGTGCTAGAAAGAGCATGGCGCCGCTGGCGTGTGCACGCACAGGCACACAGGTAGAGACCCACACAGGTGCACACATGTACATGCACACACAGGTGCACACACATGCACACATGCACAGGCACACATACACACAAGCACACAGGTACACACAGGCACACATACATACATAGGCACACACAGGTGCCCTCACACAGCACACACACACAGGCACACACAATGTACAGACACACACACAGATGTACACATACACACACAGGCACCCACACATACACAAGCACACATACCCAACACAAGCACACAGGTACATGCAGACACACACACACCCATACAGACACTTACAGGCATACACACAGAAGCACACATATACACACACAGGCACACACGGGCTGGCAGCCTGGAGGGGAACACTGACCCATTCCTTCCTTCCCAAGAACCCCATCCAAATGAGAAATTCTGCACCCTGAGCAGCTTATCAGGACGGTAGTGGAGTAACAGGCGTGGGAGCCTTCCAGACGTCTGCAAGGGAGCCGTGGACTGAGCGCGCCGTGGCATCTCAGTGGACGCCTCCATGGCGCTGGTCAAAGTCTGCAGCCTGCGGTGCACCGCGCGATAGGATGCTCCCAAATGTTCTCATTTCATGTGCCATTAGAAGTTCAACCCCACCCCCACCCCCAGAAGAGTCTCCAAAGAAAAATGCCCCCGCCCCCTGTGTGCACAATGCTGGGATGTACGGAGATGTATTCGCTACGGTCTATTGGCCATACTCTGTGCAATGTACTAGTTAGCATTCCTTTTGCAATGAATGAAAGACACGTGCGATAGATAAAACAGATAAGAAGGAGAAAAAAAAAGCCCGCCTGCCTCCGGGTGCTGCGGGGGGACCCGGGAAGGGCTGAGCCGCTGGCACAGGGCTGAGTGCCTCTCCCTCCCAACCCTGCCCCGCACAGGTCCAGTCTCAGGGAAAAGAGCCCAGGGCACAAGGTGAGTGGACGCCCGGAGGGGCCGGGCCTCTGGCAGGCCGGTAGCCAGTGCCAGCCCAGAGCCCTCTCACTCTCCGCAGGCCAAGTCCACGCCGCGACCCAAGAAGCCGGCATCCAAGAAGTGAGGAGCCTGCAGCGGCCAGCGCCCGGCACCTGCGTCGGGGTGCCACGGGTTCAGGGGCCCCTGAAGAGGAGGGGGCACAATAAAGTTTCACTTTGTCTGGCCCTCTGCCCCCTGCCGCCTTGCATTCTGGAGCTCACCCGTCCCTGTGGCTGCGCCAGCCCCGTGCCTGCAGAGGGCGGCCGGGACCCAGCGCCCCGAGCCCCGCTGGCAGCCCCAGCCCTGTGCTCTCTGCTCTGCCTGTCCACCTTCCTCCCAGCCCCCGCGACCGTGACCACAGCCCCTGCGATCCCACGGGGGACTAGTGCAGGGCAGGGGGAGTGACCCCCCCCCCAAGCCACTCTGCCCTCAGGCAGCCGTCAAGGGAGCAGAGCCTGTGTTGGGACCTCGTGGCACCTGTCGGGGGCCAGCTGTCACTCGTGCAAAGCTGGGCACCTACAGGGAAACCCAGGTGGGGTAGAGAGGGCTCGGTCATGCTCAGGGGAGGTCCACAGGGGGGTGGAAAGCAGGGAGGCGCCCCCCACCCCTTCCAGGGCCCTGCCCATGACCCCAGGTATAGGCGGGGGAGGTCACATCTGTGTGGGAAGCCAGCAGGTGGACTTCGCAGGCGCCATCTTGAGGTGCAGCTGGGGAGAGACAAGATCAGGAGGTCTCAAGCCCAGGGCAGGAGTCAGCACCAAGTCTGGCGGAAGGGGCCTCTTCCCCTCCCCGCTCCAAGCCCTGAACCGGCGCCATGGTCCAGTGTGGCTGGGTGGGGCATACAACGCCACCCCACAGATAAAACCGAACAGGCGACCATCTGAAACTGGAGCCAGCAGCAGGTATCCCAGAACGTGAGATAGCTAAGCAGCTAGACTGCCTGGTGGCTAGCATGCCCTTTGCCTTGCCCCTACCCCTACCCAGATCTCAACAGAAGGGGGCGGGGCTGGGGCCGAAGCAGGTGCCAACAAGAAACAAGGCAGGCCTCCAGGTGGGCGTCAGGAGGGGCAGGCGTGAGACGCCCAGTTGGGGGGTGCTGAACTTGGCACTAGGGGTGGGGATGAAGAGGTGGCAGCCCCAGCCACTTCTCACCTCCCTAATCACCTCCTGCAAGCCCCCTCCCAACAAATGTTAATAAACCCTGTCCTGCTCCCCTCCCCCTTACCCCAGCGCATTTCAGTCTGGGGAAAGGCTGTTAAGGCAAACAAACTAAGCTGCAGAAAGAGGCACTTGAGAGCCTCGGTAGCCATTTTTTTTTTTTTTTTAATTAAAAGAGTGACAGGGAGAGACGGAAAGAGATCTTCCAAATGGCCGCAGCAGCCAGGGCTGGGCCAGGGTAAAGCCAGATGCCAGGAACGCCATCTGGGTCTCCCACGTGGGCGCAGGGGCCCAGGTGCACTGGCCGGGAGCTGGACTGGAAGCAGAGCAGCTGGGACTTGAACCAGCGCTCCCATATGGGGTGGTCACGGTGGCTTAACCCGCTGCGCCACAATGCCGGCTCCAGCCCGGAACCTGAGACAGCCCGCAGAGCCGGTAAGTACCAGGAGCAGGGCCAGGGATGGGCGTGCTCTGTGCCACCTCCCCACCCGGGGCCCACTGCTGGCTGTCCTGCTGTGTGCCCCAGAGCCCCCCAGGCTGAGCCCAAAACAGCTGTTACCATGGAGATCCAGGCTGGACTGCCCGCTGGCCAGTGACTGCGTAGACAGCAACCAGGTGCTGGGGACGAGAAGCCCTGAGCGGCCCCAGCGTCTCCCTCTGGCCCAGGAGCTCAGACTATTCAAAGGCTGACATGTCCCAAAGCCTGAGCTGTCCATTCCCCACGTCTGTGCTCTCCTGGCCCCTGCGCGTGGAGGTCGCCTGGGAGCTGGGAGCCATGGGGATGTGGCTGGAGGTCAAAGTTTCCCCGGAGCAGAGAGGTAGAGCCAGCACCGCGTGGAAAGCGCAGAGGTTCGAATGGCCCGGAAGTGACGGGAAGACTGGAGAGTGTGTCCGCGGGGATAAAGGCCAGGGGGAGCTGGCTGCCGTGGCTCGGGGACCAGTGAGCCCTGGGCTGGGCACGTAGGCCCTGAGCCCTTGTTCTCGGGACTCTGGGTGGATATCACCCATGGAATGAGGGGGCTGAACCCGCTGATGACACTCCAAGCCACCTTCCAGTTTTGACACTGAGTTCGATACCCAGACCCTAGACCCCCCCCAACTTCCCAGGTTTATGCAGGTGGAGCTCACACCACATACCCCCCCCCCCAACCAGCTTGGGCTCAGCTGCCCGCGCAGGCCCCCTGCCTGGGGCTCTGAGCCTGGGAGGGCGGAGCTGGACACAGCCGCTGGCTGGCGGCCCCTGTGTGCCTGGGGAAGGGTGGCAGACCGCTTTGTGGATTGACCCCAGAAGGGACCTTCACCTTTCCAGTCATCTCTTTAGGTAAATAAATCCACATCCGGCCTTTCTCCCCCTCCTAGGAGCCCTCCTAGGATCCAAGGCCCAGGGCCTGAGTTCTGCCGCCTTAGACAGGGGCTTCCGTCATCGGGGACCCCCAAGCATTCCTCCCTTCTGCCATCACCACCAGGCACCTGCCTGTACAGGGCGGGGACAGCATGGGGCACCCTGCTCACCGCACCCCAATGTTGCCCGAATACTGAAAACCCAGAAGGACCTCTCGGTGAAGCCAGCACCTGGCTGGAAAGGGCTGGAACTAGGGAACCGGGTCCCTGCACGCACGCACCGGCTACATCATATGACCTGCTGCTGGGCCCCAGGGTCCTCCGCGCTCTGCAAAATGGGGCACCTGCTGGCCTGGCACACAGCACAGCGGGGCTGTGGGGACACGGGGAGCAGCCCCCAGAGGCTAGGGGTTAGCCTAAGGGCGACGGCCAGGACACAGCTCCCAGTGGAGATCTGCTGAGTGCTGTCATCTCTTGGTCAGAGGCGCAGGGGACAGCGGCCGGCGCCAGCGCACCCACCCCTCCTCCCGTTCCGGGGCATGGAGGGCAGCCGCTGGGGGTCCTTCCCAGACCCCGGCTGCACACTCCTCCCCACCTGTTGCACCCACTCTCGGCTGCCATCGCTCGCTCACTCACTCGCTTGCTCAGGCACTTACCCCTCCTAGGAGGTGGCTAGCGGGGCCAGGGCAAGCGGAGCAGCCGCTCCCAGCCAGCGAGCCCACCCCCTGCCCCCTGGAGGGAGGCTCCTCCTTTTAAGGCTGCGTCTGGGGATTCCGAGCCAGAACCAGCACCGGCGACCCCAGGCCTGGCTCCACACCTGCGGCTCACCCTTGGGCAGCTGGAGCTCCCGCGCCTCAAGGGCTAGAGCAGCTGACCCCGAGACGGGAGGAAGGCCCGCCTCCCCTTGCCCGCACCCGCGCCCCGCATCCAGTCTGGCGGCTCCTAAGGGCCAGGAATCAAGTTGGGAGACCCCCCGCAGGGGCCCGGCTTCCGTGACAACGAGAAGGCTCCCGTGGCTCCATCCCTGCTCGGGGCAGCCACCCCCCCGCCAGCCCTGGGCTTTGCAGCCTCACTGGCCGGGAAGGTGGACACCTCACACCTCAATCTCCCAATTACACCCTCCGCCCCCTCCTCCCCCTCTTCTCTCTCCTCTCCTCCTCCCCTCTCTCTCCTCCTCTCCCCCCTGAAAACCTTGGCCCCAGAGACCTCGGCTTCTCTGAAACTCCACTCCTGGGGTCTGCTCGCATCTGCTCCTGAGCTTGGGGGCAGGGGCCGCGCGCCCCAAGAAATCCGTCCAGCGATGGGAACCGCCCGCCTGCTGCCCAACCTCACTCTGTAAGTGCACTTCCCGGGCCATTTCCAGCCTGGGGCGGAGTCCCCTGCGGGCTGCCGACCGCCAGGGGCCCTGGGGCCAGCCCTAGGACGCGCTGCCGCCACCCACCCACACCTGGCCCGCCTTGTCTCCCCCAACAGGTGCTTGCAACTCCTGATCCTCTGCTGTCAAACTCAGGTAGGCGGGCTCCTCCAGTAGCCTTTCCCATCTTCCTCTTCTGCCCGATATGGGGAGCAAGGGGCAGGCTGCTTTTGGGGGGTGGGGCAGACACAGGGCACTGAGGTTCCTGGGGACAACCCTTTGGGACTCTGGCACAGTTGGGGATTGGCTCAGATGTTCATCTCAGTCCCCGCTCCTGGGGTCTCTGCCTCCTGTCTGCCCACGAGGTCCCCCAGAAGGCTAGGTGCACGCATTGGATGGGGGTCCTGGGTGGTGGGCGAGGGCTCAGGTGAGAGTGGTGCTGGCTGCCCTCCTCACGCCACCCCCACTAAGGCAGGTGTCCTGGGGTGGAGGGTCATGTGGGCGGGGAGGGGGGCCTCACCTCTGGGACCTCGAGGCAAAGCCCAAAGAGGGTGGCTCAAGATGGGACTCAGGGTTTGCTTCTTCTACAAGCCCAAGTCCGCCCCCACCCCCCACGCACACCTCCCACCCCCACGCCCCTCCCCGTGCGCGGCTCGGTCCCCTCTTTGTGACTCTCCATGGAAGTGCAACTATTAAAATGCACTGGTCCAGAACCGGGCGGGCGAGGAGCCGCTGGCTTTCCCAGGCAGAGCCGCTGGCTGCCGCGGCCGCTGTGCGGTGGGGACTTTTTTTTTCTGAAGGTAAATGCCTTTTCTCTGGGCCAGGGAGAGGGGCTGCCTTTGAAGCAGTGGGGGGGTGGGAGAGAGAGGCAGCTTCCCCCCCCCCTTTAGCCGTCCCCCTTTTGCTTCACACGTCCAGGGAGAGCGAGAAGAAAGCCCCCAGCCTGGCCGGGAGGGGGCTGGGGGTGGGACCGACCTGTTCTGGGAGGGGAATTAGCACAATGGTGAGGCTGGCCGGGCGTTTATGGCCCCATTCAGGACTCGGGGAAGGTGGCAAAGCTGTCCTCTCCCCCCTTGAAGTGCCCCCTCGCCCCCCTGGGAGGGGGGGGCAGCGGCCGAACCACAGCCATGCTTCAGGGGCCGGCTGACAAGCAGCTGTCTGCGGGGCTGCGAGGGGAGGTCCCCCTTCGGCGGGAACATGAAAGGGACAGGCAAGGTCCCGTGGGGAGAGGGAGCTGTGGGCTGTGGGCCGTGGGGGGGTGGGGCGTGGGGCTGCTTTTATGAAAGGCTTGTGGAGCGGAGGGGAGGGGGCTTCTCTCTCCTGACCTGGAACATGCTGCCAGGAGGCTGGAGGCCAAGAGGGGCGGACAGCCTGAACCTGGGCCAGGAGGCCCCCGGCCGGGCCGGGCTGGGCAGGACCCCACCCCCTGGCAGGGAGGCCAGCCAGGGCCCCGCCCCGCCCCACAGGCATCCCAGTGGATCTGCTCTCTCCTGGCGCCCCGGGGTGGACACCCATGAGCTGGAGGCGCATCTAAGGAGACAGGTGCCTTCCCCTCCCTTGGGTGATAAAGATGGGGTTAGGGATCGGAGGGTAAGGTTGTCCCAGCAGCCCCAGCCCACAGGAACCAGGTGGAAAGATGGCACCTGGCAGGAGTGCGCACAGGAAGTCGCCTGCTTGTCTCCTGCATAAGGAGAGATCTGGCTCTGTGCGGTGCCTGGGTGGAAGTGGCTCCTTTCCCTGCCCAGGAAGCAGGTGGCAACAGCCCCAAGCACCCCTGAGCCACGGCTACACTGGGGCACGGGCAGGTGAGCCAGCCCGCAGGAGTAGCACCGACTGTCCTCTGCCAAGGAGACCCCTCACCCCCACCCCACCCCCAGAGGAGGGAGAGATGCTGGAAGGGGAACCAGCGTCCCCCAGAGCCCTGGGCATGACCCTGGGGGACTGCAGTTAGAGACGCGAACAGGAGCCCTTAAAGAGAAGGGCCCTGCAGCCCCCCTCCCCCAGCCCCCTGCAGGGACCTAACAGACCATCTACTCTGCACCTGTGGGCCAGGGCTGGCTCCTGTAGAAACCCGGCAGTCCTGGCTAAGAGGACCAAGGCCCCGGAGTTCTGGGGAGCGGGCTAGCTCTGATCTGACCGCAGTCATCAGCTCTGTACTTCATCACCACGCGGCCTCTGCTCTAGGGCAGACACGGGGCCAAGGGGCCTGGCTGGCCCTGCCAGGGGCCTGCAAGTGTCCCCTCCTCCTGCCCCCACCACGCGCACCTCCTCACCCCTCACCCCTGGATGGCCCAGCGGTGGTGTCACCCAAAGCAAATTGACATTATTTTTCCCTTGGTAACCGCAAAGGGGGAGAATCACCCGTCTCCTAATTTTAACCAGTATGTGAGGGACCAGGGCGCCATGACCGACCAGCTGAGCCGGCGGCAGATCCGCGAGTACCAGCTCTACAGCCGGACCAGCGGCAAGCACGTGCAGGTCACCGGGCGACGCATCTCCGCCACCGCCGAGGACGGCAACAAGTTTGGTGAGCCCCCCACCCCTCCCTGCCCGGCCTGGGCTCCAGGCCTGTCCCCAGGAGCTCCCGATGCCCGCCCTCTCGGGCAGGCTGGCCGGCAGCCTGGATGGACGGCGCTCTTTCTCCCCTCCCTCCCCCACCCCAGCCAAGCTCATCGTGGAGACGGACACGTTCGGCAGCCGCGTGCGCATCAAGGGGGCTGAGAGTGAGAAGTACATCTGCATGAACAAGCGGGGCAAGCTCATCGGCAAGGTGAAGCCCCCCGGGGGACAGGGCTGGTGGGGTCCTGAAAAGACACGCACCCCCCAGCCCAGCCCACCCCCTACTGCTTCTCCCTGGGCTTTATCCCAGCAGCCATAGTAAGCAGGGTGGCATCCACCTGAAGTTACAGTACCGGGGGGGGGGGGGGCCTGCGGAAGGTCAAGGTCGGACTTTGCCGGGCATAGGTCAGACGTTCCAAGATCAGTGAGCTGCCTGGGCTCCAACCAGCCAGACTCCCACATAACCCCAGACAGGGGGTGGGGGGCACCCTGCAGCTGCTGGCTGCTCACTTCCACTTGCCTTTAGGCGCACAGCCCCCCAACCCCGCTCTCAACGGGCCCCCACGGGTGGCTGTGCGCCCTCTCTTCCCTCCAAATGCGAGTTCCCCTGTGCCCAGCGTGTGTCCGCCCCCCACTCTGCGCACCAAGAAACCGAGGCCCAAGGCGGCCAAGGCCACACTGAAGTCCAGCTTGTCCGCGCTCCCCACCGGGCGGAGGGGGCAGACGGCCCAGACTGGGGAAGGGAGGGGAGAGGTGGGGGAGGCGGGCGCACAAACCTCCCCGCCTCTCTGCTCCCCTGTCGCGCAGCCCAGCGGGAAGAGCAAGGACTGCGTGTTCACCGAGATCGTCCTGGAGAACAACTACACGGCCTTCCAGAACGCGCGGCACGAGGGCTGGTTCATGGCCTTCACGCGCCAGGGGCGGCCGCGCCAGGCCTCGCGCAGCCGCCAGAACCAGCGGGAGGCGCACTTCATCAAGCGCCTCTACCAGGGCCAGCTGCCCTTCCCCAACCACGCCGACAGGCAAAAGCAGTTCGAGTTCGTGGGCTCGGCCCCCACCCGCCGGACCAAGCGCACTCGGCGGCCCCAGCCTCTCACGTAGTCGGAGACGCAGGGCCGGCCGCCCCTCCGCCGCCTCCCCCTCCCCGCCCTGGCCCTTCCCAAGCCAAAGACTGGGGCTGGGGTGGCGGCAGGGGCGCCCCGGCAAGCGGGAGAGGGTCGGGGGTCAGACCCCGGGAAAGAAACTGTGGCGCCGCCCCCGCCGCACACACCCCGCCCGAGGCCTCGCGGGCGGAGCTGCTCCGGTCCCGCACCCCGCCCCGCGCCCAGGCTCCTCCGCGCTGGGTTCCGGGGACGAGAAAGAAACAGGGTCGGCCGTTGCTCGCCTGCATGCCGCGACCCGGGCGTGCACCCCCGCCCCCAGCCCCGGAATAAAAACCATTTTTCCTGCAAACGGGCTCTCTGAGCAGGGTGGGCCGGCCGCAGGGCGCGCGCAGGTGCAGGGCGGGCAGCGGGATGCGCGGCGGGGCCGCACCTGCGCCCAGGGCGCGCTCGGCCCCCGGGCCCCTCCCCGCGCGCCGGCTCCGGTTTCCCGGGCTCGCGCGGCGCATCCCGTGCTACCTGTTGGGGCGAGGGAGGCCCCAAGCCCAGGAGCACGGGGGCCGGGGGCCTCTTCGCAGGCGGCAAGACTGCGGTTTTCCGGTGAGGAGGGCCGGGGGGCGGGCGGAAGGGGGAGGAGGCGGAAGGCGGCCTCTGTTCCCGGCGGTCCCCGCTGGGGGCGCGGGCGGGGTCCACACCTGGGCAAATCCCAATTAGAGGCGGCGGCCGGGGGGAGGGGCGGTGCTGCCCGGCGCGCGCGCCGCGGGCCGCCTGGCCTACGAGCCGCCAGGTGCGCGGTCGCGAGTGGGCGGCCCTTCCTGGCAGTGACCCCCGCGATCAGCCCCCACTGAGCCGGGTCCCCTTTTGCGGATTCCCCAGCCTCAGTTTCCCCTCCCCCTCCCTGGACGAGGGGGATTACGGCCCACGTCCGTGCTTGCCAGCCTAAAAATAAGGGAGGAGGGGAGGTGGCGGAGTCCGGGTGGGAGGTGGGTGCACCTGCAGCCCTCCTTGATGGCGAGGGCTGGAGCAGAGCCTGACACCGCCAAGCCTGGGCGGTTTAGAAGGTGGGCACCGCAGCCCCCAGGACCCCGTCCTAATTGCCTGGCCCCTATCACAAAGAGCCTTAATCCTGGCGCAGACCTCAGGCTGGGTTGTGGGTCGTTTTCTGGGGTGTTTGTAGGGAGGGTGGTCGCCAGCCACAGCTGATAGCCGGTGAGTTCAATGGGACTTTAAAACTGGGGCAACACCCATCAATTAGTTGCGGACAAAGGGTCGGGGCCCCCCAGGTGTGGAGGCCTGGACTTTGGGGGGCTGGGGAGGGGGAAAGGCCTTTCAAGCCACCGATTTCCGAAGGAATTTGAGACATTCTTTAAAACTCCAGACGGCCTGCCCCCCAGCGGCGCGCTCAGGCCCACCCCCACCCCTCCCTCGCTGGGGTTAGAGACTGCTTCAAAGGTGGACGGGGCCCTTTGTCTGGCCTCTAGCTTTTTTCTCGGCCTTTCTCCAGCCCCTCCCTCCCTCTCTGACCTCCCCCGGGCACAGGCAGGCCTCTGGGGGCCAGCGCCAGAAAGCCCTCACTGTTTGCTTTCTTGCTGCTGGAGGTGAGAGCCGGCCAGGGAAGTGGCCTCGCCCTGCCTGAGCCTACAGGTCCAGTGCCTGCTTCGGGCCCTGGCTGGGCCTCTCGCCTGCTCACCAGCACCCAGGCCCCAGAGCCCTGACGACTCTTCCCGCTCTGGGGAAGTCTGTTCAGCTCACCCTGTCTTGAGCTCCTGGGACCCTGGAAGAGGCCGAAGGAATGGGCAGCTTCTGATACCAGTGCTTGGCGGGGATTTGGTGTGCACCCTGCGCTCTGTGGGCAGGAGGCTTCCCCCGGAACCACACCCACTGGCTTCGGGCAGCCAGTGGTCACCGGGGCTGTGACACAGTGGAGGGAGGCGGGCTTCACACCTGTGCCTGCTTCTGATTCTGGCTAAGAATAACCTCCCTATCGAGCTGCCCTGCCTTGCCCTCCAAACACAGGGCAAAAGGGAGCCCCGGCAGGAACCTCTGTTTCCATCACTCTGGTCCTGTCCTCCTTAGCCTTCAGGGTCCGCCACCCACAGCGCGTGACACCGCCCAGGACAACCCCTGGGACGCCGGAGGCTGCCTGTTCTCTGGCTCCTGTTCCCCAGCTCCTCCTGAGATCCAACCCGCCCCCACAGCCGGCTGCCCTGGTGCTGCTGTCCCTCCTGCCCGGCTCTGCGTCTGAGCAGTCTCCATAGCTCAGCCATCACCCATCATCACCAGGAGAAGCACCATGGCAGAGCCCCTGGGGTAGGCCGAAACGACTGTAACAGCCCCACAAACCTCACCCTAAGTCGAGTGGGGAACGGTTTTTCTACCTAGTGCTGTTTGCATATTTATAACACCATGCGTGGGCCATACGATACTAGCAACTTAAAAATTAGCCTGCTGTCCATCTCCTGAATTTCAAGTCCCGTGCGATTGCCTTGGCAGGGCCAAACCAAATGATCTCACGGGTTGTATACGGCCCGCGGGCTGGACATGGCCCACTCTTGCCTTAGATAAACCACAGCCCTGCCCTGGCCACACTGGCACCAACAGACCCCTTCATACCCACCACAGCCCCTACGAGTCCCCTTCCGGACACTGGCGGAACCGGAAGTCTCACTGTCGCACACAGCAGGCTGCCCTCATCTTTGTCCACTGCCTGTAGCCATCCCTGGAATGCCAGCTCTGCAGGCATGCCCCCCACCCCCACCCCGGTCTATGCTGCCCCTGGGCTGGCCTTATTGACACAAACAAGGGGACTTCCAAACGTTGGTGGGAAGATGGAATTCTAAGTTTATTTTGGGGCAACTGTCGCTCCCCCTCGTCGTGGAGGAACGACACAGGACCCTGCGCTGTTCTTTGGTCTGCTCGGCCCTCCCCGGGTTTGCTGCTGGTTCTTCCCGGGTTGGCTGCCGTCCCTTCCACCTCCGTGGAAGGGCGGTTCCCCCTGGCCACTTTCCCCACTTCCGCAGGGGAGCGGCACACCGCCGGCCGGCTCTCTCGGGGGCTGCTCAGATGTTCCCTCAGGTAGATGTTCCCCTTAGATGTTCCTGGTGCATGTTGTCTCTCTCCTCCTTTATAGTCCTCCTCCGCCAATCCCAACTCTGCTACCCACACGCCGAGCACGCTGCTCTCCTCCAATCAGGAGTAGGTCCTACAGTTTATTGGCTGAACTGGAGGCAGCTGTGTAGAAGCTGTTTTCTCCTCTCCCAGCGCCATATTGTGGGAGAGCAGATGCATAGAATAAGTCTTAATTCCAGTAACTTAGTCTAGTCCGGGTTGCTCCCCACAGCAACAATGTTTGAAACCCATGCACAGTGTTTTCTTTTTTCTTTTCTTTTCTTTTTTTTTTTTTTTTTTTTTTTTTACAGAGTGGATAGTGAGAGAGAGACAGAGAAAGGTCTTCCTTTTGCCATTGGTTCACCCTCCAATGGCCGCTGCGGCAGGCGCACTGTGCTGATCCGAAGGCAGGAGCCAGGTGCTTCTCCTGGTCTCCCATGGGGTGCAGGCCCCAAGCACTTGGACCATCCTCCACTGCCTTCTTGGGCCACAGCAGAGAGCTGGCCTAGAAGAGGGGCAACCGGGAAAGAATCCGGCGCCCCGACCGGGACTAGAACCAGGTGTGCCAGCGCCGCAAGACAGAGGATTAGCCTAGTGAGCCGCGGCGCCTGCCTCATAGTGTTTTCATAGTATACATTTTCCATGAACTTTTTTGAGGAGCGGGGGTGGTGGGGGAGAGACAGAGCTCGCAGACTGGGACTGGAACTGGGCTAAGGCTGAAGCCAGGAGCCAGGAACTCAATCCAGGTCCACTTCCCAGGGTCTGCGTTAGCAGGAAGTAGGGGCCAGAGTGAGTACTCAGTTCAGGGACTCCCATATGGGACACAGGCTTTTTTTTTTTTTTTTTTTTTTTTTTTTTTTTTTGACAGGCAGAGTGGACAGTGAGAGAGAGAGACAGAGGAAAGGTCTTCCTTTGCCGTTGGTTCACCCTCCAATGGCCGCCGCTGCTGGTGCACTGCGCTGATCCAAAGCCGGGAGCCAGGTGCTTCTCCTGGTCTCTCAAGCGGGTGCAGGGCCCAAGCACTTGGGCCATCCTCCACTGCACTCCCTGGCCACAGCAGAGAGCTGGACTGGAAGAGGGACTACCGGGACAGAACCGGCGCCCTGACCGGGACTAGAACCTGGTGTGCCGGTGCCGCAAGGCGGAGGATTAGCCTAGTGAGCTTTTTTTTTTTTTTTTTTAAAGAACAGAGAGCACTCTTCCATCCACCCACTGGCCCATCCCCCAGATGCCTGCAACAGTCCAGGCTGGATCAGACCAAAGCTAGCGCAGCAGGGACCCAGAAAGCGCATTAGCAGGAAGCTGAAATTGGAGCAGAGAGGAAACTTGAACTCAGCTGGGAGGTGGGTATCCCAAGTAGTGTCTTGTCTTGTCTTGTCTTGTCTTTTGTTTTCTTTCTTTCTTTCTTTCTTTCTATTTATTTTATTTTTTTTGACAGGTAGAGTTATAGACAGTGAGAGAGAGAGACAGGGAGAAAGGTCTTCCTTCCGTTGGTTCACCCCACAAATGGCCGCTACGGCCGGTGTGCTGCGCTGATCCGCAGCCAGGAGCCAGGAGCTTCCTCCTGGTCTCTCATGCGGGTGCAGGGCCCAAGGACTTGGGCCATCTTCTGCTGCTTTCCTAGGCCATAGCAGAGAACTGGATTGGAAGTGGAGCAGCCTGGACTCGAACTGGCACCCATCTGGGATGCCGGCACTGCAGGCGGCAGCCTTACCCGCTATGCCACAGCACCAGCCCCTCCATGATCTCTTTGGAGACTTTTTGTTCACATGGATTTTAGATTTTTGGGGGTGGGGGCACCAAAATCAATGGAGCTTTTAATTCCATTTCCCACGAACTTCGTGAAATCCTTTCGTAGCAAGCTCGCCCGGACTGTAGTGATTTATGGTTGTGTCCTGCTGTTCTAGAGAGCAGGTGCCCCGGATGTAGGCTCAGTGCCCCCCCCCCACAGTGCCCAGCGCACTACCGTGCACGGGTTAGCTATTTACTGGGGAGCAAAGCAGCCGCAGCTGCAGAGGGATTATCATTGGCCAAGAAGCCTGCTTTTCCGCAAGGTGGAGGCGGGATGAAGGGCCAGCACCCTGCCTCCAGCGCCACCTGTAGGTAGGTTTGGGTGGAAGAGTCTTAAACAGCTCATCCAAATTCCTATGCCCTACAGCTTCCAAGCCCCGTCCCGGTCCTCCTGTTTATAAAGAAGATGGACA